AGTGCACAAGTCTTTTTAAAAAGAAACATGGTTTACTTGCACAAAACTGATCAGTTTTGAGAGATCGTTAATGCCCTTGAAGTGGTTTTTGTGGGTGTGAAACAAATGGTGAGAATTTGAATTGGTCCCTCTTATTATAGTATTGAAATTAAGTCTACTTAATTTATCAAGTCATGTTCATGCCCTGATTTTATATACTTGTATCTATCAATAAACATTGTGATACTTGATATAGTTGTGTGTGACTTTAAGTTATCATCCACCGACTTACAAGTTTGGGAACTTTAAATTCTTACTACTTTACCTTTCCATGATGAGACAACTTCTCAGGTCAGGTTATTGGAAATAATAAACAATTCCTGTAATCAAAGGCAGTGCTGAGATCATAAGTCTCATAATAAGTACATAGCAACTTGGGTGGTGAGTAGAACCAATGTTTGTGTCCTATTTGAGTCAGAAGCGTGCCAGTAACTATTTTGGCAGGCCTCTTCACTGACATTCTAACATACGTAATAGACTTAGAGCTTTTGGTGGATATCCTGAGTACAATGAAATTAAGGCTAAGTAGCGACGTGCAGATGAATTTTTTTTTTAATGTTTTGATTTTAGAGAGGGAGAGTTCTAGAAACATCAGTGAATGATGAATCATTGCCTTCTGCAAACCCCCTACTTAGGGATTGAATTCATAACCAGGGCATGTGCCCTAACCAGGAATGGAACTGACCTCCCTGCAGACCACTTTAGATAAAGAGAACTTAGGAAGCTGACTGCTGGGCTGTGGAATTAATGAGCTATAAATTGCATTATTCCTGGCCTTCTGCCCTTTAAGGGGACATTGGAGTTAGCCTGGTAAATGTGTATAGTAGGTCTTCAGTTTACAGCCAGAATTCCTCTAATTCAGCTAGGGAACTGGACCAAAGGAAGTTTTAGGTCTGATGTGTAGTTGTCATTGGTTACAGAAGTCAGGTTTTCACATACCACTTGAATGCTTCAAGAACAACAACAGACAATGAGTTGGGGGGTGGGTCTGGGAATTGGGGCAGGCTGGGAGAGGACAATGCGGGGGGGGGGGAACAAAAAAAAATATAGTGATCCCTTGAATAATCCATCTTGCTCCAAACAGTATTGTATAACCTACCATACTATGGAACATTATTTGGATGTACTCAGCATGCACCTTGTATGAATAATGCCTTTAGCATCAGCACACAATTATGCAGTGACTTACCTTAAAAATAAGATTCCACATCTTTTACTACCCCTTTGAGAGAGTTGTCTCTTCATTTTGCCAGTTCCTTTTCCATTCTCAAACAGGCTGCGCTCAAATACACCGAAGTTTTCTCAAGATCAATAACCAGGGCTATGTTCAGTAGTTTTCATTCTATAGGCAGAATTAGAAAGTAAATCATTCCCTGGGATTTCTTTTCAGTCAAACTATTTCTACCTTATTTGTTGGCTGTTCCTTCTCAGTCTCTGGTGGGAAACACCTCAGCTGCTTAATTGTCAAACCCAACATCTAATCAACTCCTGGCCCTCCCTCCAAAACAGGAATTGGACAGATTACCTCTCCTCATTTCTGTCCTATATGCCCCAGTAGCCTAACTGGATTCTCTGGCCTGGCCTCCATTTGGTTCCTGGGACACGCCAGGAATTGGAGTTTTTAATGCTTAGATAACTGGATGACTGGCTACCTCAGCTTCATCAGGTCTTAGCTCAAATGTCACATTTAGTAAGGTCCCTACTGTCCACCTCTAAAATGTAACCCTGCACACATATGTCTTCTTTCCTGCTGTAGGTAACTCCATGCCTACCATTATCAGGTGTATTGGTTAATGGGATTTTTTTCAATAGATGGAGTACACATACGTTGATATATACGCGATTTGTTACTTTGTTGTATTGACAGCAAGCTTCAAAACTTAGTGATATTTTCTGAAGATGTAAACATGGATATTTTTATGTTTAAGAATGTCGAATTTCATGCAGCAAGTTTTTAATGTGCCCTTGGCCAGAATTGAGCCTGGGACCCGTACTCTGCAGGCCGACGCTCTATCCACTGAGCTGAACTGGCTAGGGCGCATTTGTGGGAAGTTTTAATTCTTTATTTTGAAGAAAAGTGCTGCTGAAACGTACCGTATACTTCAAGAAGCTTATGGTGAACATGCTCCATCTCAAGATACTTGTGAACGCTAGTTTAAATGCTTTAAAAGTGATGATTGTGATATGAAAGACAAAGAATGTTCATGTCAACCGAAAAAGTTTGAATACCAACAATTACAAGCACTATTGTATGAAGATGCATGTCAACCAAAAACAACTTGCAGAAAGATTAAACGTTGCTCAGCAAACGATTTCAGATCGTTTAGAAGCAATGGGAAAGATTTTAAAGGAAGGAAAATGGGTGCCACATCAACTGAACAAAAGACAAATGGAAAACCGAAAAGTCACCAGAAAATGTTTCAATGGCATGACTTTTTTGCATCTAATTGTGACGTGATGAAAAGTGGATTTATTTTGAGAATTGCAAACACACAAAATCATGGGTTGATCCAGGTCAACCATCAACATCGACTGCAAGGCCAAATTGCTTGGGAAAGAAGACAATGCTCTGCTTTTGGTGGGATCAGGAAGGTGAGGTATTGTGAGCTTCTAAAATCAAGTGAAACCGTTAATACTGATCGCTACTGAACCACACTTTGATTGTGAAATGACCAGAATGTGCCAGAAGACACGGCAAAGTAATTTTGCTTCATGATGACGCACCATCACACACTGCAAAACCAGTTAAAGACATGTTAAAAGATCTTACCTGGGAAGTATTAACCCACCCCCCATATTCACCAGACCTTGTTTCGATTGATGGCGCACACATTTTCTGAGCAGCACTTCAAAATGTACGAAGTGGAAAATTGGGTCTCTGAATGGATTGCCTCAAAACAAGAAAAATTCTATTGGGACGGTATCCACAAATTACCTGAAAGATTGGGGAAATGTGTAGCTAGCGGTGGACATTATTTTGAATAAAGCACTTTTGATGTTTCTCTTGAAATTATCGTGTTTTCTTTGATTACAAAATCGCACTAACCGGTACACCTGGTATATGACGTACTGAATATATCTGACCTTCTACAGAATGTGAAGAGATTGAACTTCTTGGCTGTTTTGTTCTCTGCTGTATCCCCCACACCTAGAATAGTGCCTAGCACACAGTAAGCTCAAGTATTTGTTGAACCAAATCACAGATTAATTAAATTATCTTACACAGCAGGAACTGGTAAGAAGAGGTTGTGGAAAGAACTCAGACTTAAGCCCTAACCGGTTTGGCTCAGTGGATAGAGCATCTGCCTGCTGACTGAAAGGTCTTGGGTTTGATTCTGGTCAAGGGCCTGTGCCTTGGTTGTGGGCACATCCCCAGTGAGGGGTGTGAGGGAGGCAGCTCTTCGATGTTTCTCATTGATATTTCTGACTCTATCCTTCTCCCTTCCTCTCTGTAAAAAAATCAATAAAATATATATATCTCAGACTTAAGTTATAGATAGATCTAGGATTCATCCGTACCACCTATTAGCAGTGTGATGTTAAGCAAGGTCATTTCAATTCTGAGCTTTTAATTTTTTATAATGGGGCGAATGGTTAAGCATTGCCAGGAGAACTAAATAAAGTAATATGTGAGTCAGCTTACAGTCCCGCACCTAGTAGTCCTTCAATATATGGGGGGGGGGTGGGGGGGGGCAAAAATAGGTTTAGTCGTGAGTACATGAAACAGTTTATTCTTGTGTAGAAAATAATACAACAGTTAACAATACAAGAATAAACTGTTCCATGTACTCAAAACTAAACCTGCATTTGCTCCACCCTGTATGTGAATTCATGTCTGATCGAAGTAGCTTTTTTTTCTATTTTAAATATTTAATTATCTCAGTAGCTTTTCTAAAACATCTCTCCTAAGAACTTCCATCCTGAGCTTGCAATCACCAGCTAAGATCTAATGGGAATTGCTTGGTCTTACTTGACTCAAAAGCAACAGTCATCCTAGCTGGTTTGGCTCAGTGGATGGAGTGTTGGCTTGTGGACTGAAGCGTCACAGGTTCGATTCCAGTCAAGGGCACATGCCCAGGTTGTGGGCTTGATCCCCATTAGGGAGCATGCAGGAGGCAGCCGATCAATGATTCTCTCTCATCATTGATGTTTCTCTCACCCTCCTCTCCCTCTCCGAAATCAATAAAAATAAAAACAACAGTCAACTGCTCTTTGCCTTCCTCTCAGGCTTCTTGGTCTCCTTTTTAGGCTCTTTTCTAGCCTGGCTCATGAATGCTCTGCTTTCTTCCCTCAATTCTTTTCACTTACTCTTGTGACTCCAATCACAATCTATCTGCTGATGACATCTACGTCTTGAATCAGATGTCTTCCCAGAATGTCAGACTTGCACATCCAGCCAGGTCCTGGACGTTATCTGAATGTGCCATAAGGACTTTAAATGGAACATGAGTCAGCCGTGACCCCTCCTCCCTCTCAACCAATCACTGCATTCTATTCATTTTATTTACATTATAGCTATTGAAGCCACTTTTCTTCCTCTCTCTCCACTGCACCACCCTAGTCCAAGCACCTGAATAACTCATGCACTAAGCTTCCACTTGGTCTCCTGCCTCTCATCTTGCTCTCCTAGTCCATTCTCCACATTACAATCAGAGCGGTTTTCCATAAGCATCTGCTCTTTCCTTGGCCTTTCCATGGCTCCAGGTTTTCCTCAGAATAAAACTCAAATTCCTTAATTTAACAAGACCTCAAGCCATCTGCTGTTTCCCCTCTTTTACATTTTATTTTTTCATCTCTCCTAATCTCTGGGCCTTTGCAAAGGCTATTTTATCTGCCTGAAACATTGCTCTCCCTACTATCTCTCCTCCCCCCCCGCCCCCCCCGCTTCATCTAACTTAGTCTTACTCTCCTCCAGGTAGTAGCATGGGTCCACATTTAGAAAGCCTGCCTGCCTCTGCCAAGGTTGAATTGGGGGAGTTCTTGGTAGCAAAGAAGAGAAACTCACTGTGGACAAACTAAGCAGAAGGGGAGTTCATTGGAACTCCACTTAAGAGATCCACCAGGTTTGGAAATGAATGGTGATTAAGAAGTTGGATAGGGAAACCAAGATGGCGGCATAGGTTAACGCCGGAGATTGCTGCCTAGAACAACCACTTCAGAGATACAACAAAAGGATGGAATGGACATCATCCAGACCACAGGAAGGCTGGCTGAGTGGAAATTCTACAACTAGAAGGAAAGAGAATATCATACCCAGACTCAGAGGAGGCGCAGTGCTGAAGTGAAATACTAAAGGTGCGGAGTGCGCACAGAGTGGGCTGGCGGCTGAGGGCGTGGCTGTTGTTTTCAATCCGGAGGGAGTCTCAGGGTCTGAGCTCCAGTTCCAGGCAAGTCTCTGGGGACCCAGACTCCTACGGGAGAAGCGGG